TTGGTTAGGGCTGAATGTGTTTGGAGACGTTGGTTAGGGCTGAATGTGTTGGTTAGGGCTGAATGTGTTGGTTAGGGCTGAATGTGTTTGGAGCCGTTGGATAGGGCTGAATGTGTCTGGAGCCGTTGGTTAGGGCTGAATGTGTTGGTTAGGGCTGAATGTGTTGGATAGGGCTGAATGTGTCTGGAGCCATTGGTTAGGGCTGAATGTGTCTGTAGCCATTAGTTAGGGCTGAATGTGTTTGGAGACGTTGGTTAGGGCTGAATGTGTTGGTTAGGGCTGAATGTGTTGGTTAGGGCTGAATGTGTTTGGAGCCGTTGGATAGGGCTGAATGTGTCTGGAGCCGTTGGTTAGGGCTGAATGTGTTGGTTAGGGCTGAATGTGTTGGATAGGGCTGAATGTGTCTGGAGCCATTGGTTAGGGCTGAATGTGTCTGTAGCCATTAGTTAGGGCTGAATGTGTTTGGAGCCGTTGGTTAGGGCTGAATGTGTTGGTTAGGGCTGAATGTGTTGGATAGGGCTGAATGTGTCTGGAGCCATTGGTTAGGGCTGAATGTGTCTGTAGCCATTAGTTAGGGCTGAATGTGTTTGGAGCCGTTGGTTAGGGCTGAATGTGTTTGGAGCCGTTGGTTAGGGCTGAATGTGTTTGGAGCCGTTGGTTAGGGCTGAATGTGTTGGTTACGGCTGAATGTGTCTGGAGCCGTTGGTTAGGGCTGAATGTGTCTGGAGCCATTGGTTAGGGATGAATGTGTTGGTTAGGGCTGAATGTGTTTGGAGCCGTTGGTTAGGGCTGAATGTGTTTGGAGACGTTGGTAAGGGCTGAATGTGTTGGTTAGGGCTGAATGTGTTTGGAGCCGTTGGTTAAGGCTGAATGTGTTTGGAGCCGTTGGTTAGGGCTGAATGTGTTGGTTAGGGCTGAATGTGTTTGTAGCCGTTGGTTAGGGCTGAATGTGTTGGTTAGGGCAGAATGTGTTTGGAGCCGTTGGTTAAGGCTGAATGTGTCGGGAAAGCATCAGTCTGTTCTGGACATTCAGGCCTGTTCTTGTTTTGATTCTTGACACAAATCAAATGATTCAGTCCTGCTCCTTTTTATAACGTACTGTATGTCATGTTAGTGAATGTAATAACAGCGCTCTAACGCAACACACCCACCTACTGGTTGTCATTGGATAGAAATATTGGGGATCTCTCCCTCCCTCCCTCCCTCTCTCCCTCCCTCCCTCCCTCCCTCCCTCTCTCCCTCCCTCCCTCCCTCGCTCCCTCAACGGCTTGTTGACAATGAAGTCTCTTGTGATGGTTGAGTCTGGTTGAGGTTGGTTGAGGCTGCCGTGTCTAATTTACATATGTGACGAGCAGCCTGGGAATTTGTGGTGCTGAATAACACCTCCTTTCTCACTCCCAGATATCCCCCTGATACTCTCCGCCAAAGTGAAAGAACTTCACATTACCTCAGCGTGGGCCACCAGCTAACTAGCTAACAACTGGTCCAACCAACCATCCTCTCCCCTCTACCCACTATCATCTAACCCTATCCTCTCCCGTCTCCCCCTATCCTCTCCCGTCTCCCCCTATCCTCTCCCGTCTCCCCCTAACCTCTCCCCTCTACCCCCTATCCTCTCCCCTTCTCCCCCTACCTCTCCCCCTATCCCTCTCTCCCCCTATCCTCTCCCCTCTACCCCCTATCCTCTCCCCTCCCCCATCCTCTCCCCCATCCTCTCCCCTCTACCACCCTATCCCTCCCCTCTCCCCCCCTTCCCCTATCCTCTCCCCCTCCTCTCCCTCTCCCCCTATCCTCTCCCCTCTACCCCCTATCCTCTCCCCCCTCCCCCCTATCCTCTCCCCTCTACTACCCCCTATCCTCCCCCCTACCCCCTACCTCTCCCCTCTACCCCCTATCCTCTCCCCTCTACCCTACCCCCCTACCCTTCCCTCTAACCCCCATCCTCTCCCCCTCTAACCCCCTATCCTCTCCCCCTACCCCTATCCTCCCCTCTACCCCCTATCCTCTCCCCTCTACCCCCTATCCTCTCCCCTCCCCCTACCTCCTATCTCTACCCCCTATCCTCTCCCCTCTCCTATCCTCTCCCTCTACCTCTTCCCTCTCCCCCTATCCCCCCTATCCTCTCCCCTCTATCCCCCTATCCTCTCCCCTCTACCCCCCTCCTCTCCCCTCTACCCCCCTACCCTCTCCCTACCCCCCTCCCTACCCTCTACCCTATCCCTCTCCCCCCCTCACCCCCTTCCTCTCCCCTCTACCACCCCCTCTCCCTCTACCCCCTCCTCCCCCTCCCTCCCCCTCTACCCCTATCCTCTCCCCTCTACCCCCTATCCTCTCCCCCTCTACCCCCTACCCCCTATCCCTCCCCTCTACCCCCTATCCTCTCCCCTCTCCCCTCTACCCCCTATCCTCTCCCCTCTACCCCTATCCTCTCCCCTCTACCCCCCTATCCTCTCCCCTCTACCCCCTATCCCTCCCCTCTAACCCCCTATCCTCTCCCCTCTACCCCCTATCCTCTCCCCTCTAACCCCCCACCTCCTCTCCCCCTCTACCCCCTCTCCTCTCCCCTCTACTACCCCCTCCCCCCCTACCCTCCCTCCCATCTACCCCCATATCCTCTCCCCTCTACCCCCCTATCCTCTCCCCTCTACCCCCTATCCTCTCCCCTCTAACCCCTATCCCTCTCCCCTCTCCCCCCCCTATCCTCTCCCCTCTACCCCATATCCTCTCCCCTCTACCCCCTATCCTCGTCCCCTACTACCCCCTAGCCTCTCCCCTCTACCCCCTATCCTCTCCCCTCTACCCCCTATCCTCTCCCATCTACCCCCTCTCCTCTCCCCTCTACCCCCTCTCCTCTCCACCCCTCTCCCCCCTATCTTCTTCCTGGGACAGCCGAATAACCCTTTTGGAATCCTTTTTTCTAAGAGTGTATGTCCCAGTCTTATGTAATTGTTTACCTTGACTGTGTGTTTACAGGCTAAGTGGAGAGGCTTCCCAGCCACTGGGCCTAGCATAGCACAGCCCCATACTTCATACTTAAATATACACCTAAAATGGAAATAAAAAAAATGTGTGTATGAGGAAAGTGAAATTTGCAGACCGAACGTCCTTTTCCAGAGAAGGAGGTAACAAGATTTCTAGAGGCAAGATGAAACTCTAAACTCTCATTGCACATTAGGACTGTTCTCAACAGCAACAAACATCAATAGAGTCAGCCAACTGCATAGGAATCAAAATATCGCTCTGGATAAGAGCGTCTGCTAAATGACGTAAATGTAATGTAAATGTAATATGCTTTTTCACAGCACTGGGATGAAGTTGCCACTTGCCATGTCTCTCACCCCATAAACGCTTAACCATCAATCAATTTGGTTGATCAAGACCCGTGGCTATACATAACTGCCTGCCGTCAGTGACTAAGACCAGGGTTGGGAACAATTACAATCGAAGGCGGTCAATTCAGGAAGTAAACTGAAAATCTAATTCAATAATGGAAAAAATTACTTCTCAACAAACAGAAAAGTAGAAGATACTGATTTCTTTTTTTATATATCCATTTTTACATGTTTTATTGAAATAACTTCCTGAATTTACTGCCTTCAATTCGAATTGACCCCAACCCTGGCTAATGCATATCGTTTTCCAGATGTATGTACATTGTCACAGTTCTTCACAGTTTTCTAAGGGTCTAGAGTTTAGGGTGCCAGATGAACATATAATATCACATATATTGTCACAGGTCTTCACAGTTAATTAAGGGTTTAGGGTGCCAGATGTTCAGTTGGTAGAGCATGGCGTTTGCAATGCCAGGGTTGTGGGTTCGTTTCCCACGGAGGGGCAGTATGAAAATGTATGCACTCACTAACTGTAAGTCGCTCTGCATAAGAGCGTCTGCTAAATGACTAAAATTTAAAATGTAGATGTACGTACACTACCGTTCAAAAGTTTGGGGTCACTTAGAAATGTCCTTGTTTTCAAAAGAAAAGCAATTTTAATTTTTTTGTCCATTCAAATAACATAAAATTGATCAGAAATACAGTGTAGACATTGTTAATGTTGTAAATGGCTATTGTAGCTGGAAACGGCTGATTTTTAATGGAATATCTACATAGGCGTACAGAGGCCCATTATCAGCAACCATCAGTCCTGTGTTCCAATGGCACGTTGTGTTTGCTAATCCAAGTTTATCATTTTAAAAGGTAATTGAACATTAGAAACCCCTTTTGCAATTATGTTAGCACAGCTGAAAACTGTTGTGCTGATTAAAGAACCAATAAAACTGGCCTTCTTGAGACTAATTGAAGATCTGGAGCATCAGCAATTCTGGGTTCGATTACAGGCTCAAAATGGCCAGAAACAAATAACTTTCTTCTGAAACTCATCAGTCTATTCTTGTTCTGAGAAATGAAGGCTATTCTATGCGAGAAATTGCCAAGAAACTGAAGATCTCGTACAACGCTGTGTACTACTCCCTTCACAGAACAGCGCAAACTGGCTCTAACCAGAATAGAAAGAGGAGTGGGAGGCCCCGGTGCACAACTGAGCAAGAGGACAAATACATTTGAGTGTCTAGTTTGAGAAACAGATGCCTCACAGGTCCTCAACTGGCAGCTTCATTAAATAGTACCCGCAAAACACCAGTCTCAACGTCAACAGCGAAGCGGCGACTCCGGGATGCTGACCTTCTAGGCAGAGTTGCAAAGAAAAAGCCATATCTCAGACTGCCCACCTTAATCTTTTCTTTTTATTGGCCAGTCTGAGATATGGCTTTTTCTTTGCAGCGGTTAACTAAGGGTCTCTAGGACATAGGGCCTAAGGGACTACGGTCTAGGGTAACAGACCTACTGTACGTACACTAACAGTTTAGGGGTTTAGGGTGTAGGGTTTAGGGTGCCAGATGTATGGTTAACTAAGGGTTTAGGGTGTAGGGTGCCAGACTTACGTACATTGTCACAGTTGTCACAGTCCGGTAGGCCAGCCTTCTGGATGGATCTCTTTACCTCCAGAGAGAAGTTCTCAAACTCTGGTTTGACCGTCCGGAGCAGCGTGACCGTGTTGAGGGCAGAGTATGCCTGTCGTGCCTCACTGTCGTACTTATCCCCTCGCTTCCACGAGCCGTTGCCTGGGAAACCAAACGAGGAGAGATGAAAAAAGAGGTGAAATTGTTGACATGTTGAAATGTTTCTGTCTGTCAGAATGTAGTGCAGCCCTGGGCATGGAGATGTGCAGGTCTTTACTCCAGCCAAGCATTAAAACATGGTGTGCAGGCCTTTACTCCAGCCAAGCATTAAAACATGGTGTGCAGGCCTTTACTCCAGCCAAGCATTAAAACATGGTGTGCAGGCCTTTCCTCCAGCCAAGCATTAAAACATGGTGTGCAGGCCTTTCCTCCAGCCAAGCATTAAAACATGGTGTGCAGGCCTTTACTCCAGCCAAGCATTAAAACATGAGGTTCTATTTTAACAAACCATGCAAGGGTAAATCTAAGCTATAGGTTCAGGGGTGTGTCAGATTTATTTTTTCTATTTTCACTAATCACAATTATCGGCGCACTTGCTGGCGCTGGTGCGAAAGGGCTGGGTTTTGATGAATAAACAAGTTGTGGGTGTGTCGAGGCTTAGCCCCACACTGTCCAATCAGAAGGTGCTCCATGGCGAAATATGCGGTTGTTTCAAGTTGTGTATTTGCGGTCTTTTATTTATCGCCTTGGAATCAACTCCAATTCCAATGTTAGTTTGTTAAATGGCTTACAGAAACGAAATAACAAAATGTAGACCTATCCCGTGTTTGCTAAATATGTTAACTTGAACCCATTTGCAGTCCACAATGTTCTAAGTAATTGCATGGCGTCAATAGCACTGGTATAGGGGCTAGGGCTACTGTAAATTGCAATATGGCTGAACATTGACATGCCAAACATTGTCAATAACCAAGATTAAATTCATTATTGATAAGGCTTAAAAAGATAACTAATAGTTCTAATCAAATTCAAAACAACTTGTTTTAAATAGGCTATGTCACACTTACAGGTCCCCGTGGGAGAAACCCTAAACCCCGTGGGAGAAACCCTAAACCCCGTGGGAGAAACCCTAAACCCCGTGGGAGAAACCCTAAACCCCGTGGGAGAAACCCTGAACCCCGTGGGAGAAACTCTAAACCCCGTGGGAGAAACCCTAAACCCCGTGGGAGAAACCCTAAACCCCGTGGGAGAAACCCTAAACCCCGTGGGAGAAACCCTAAACCCCGTGGGAGAAACCCTAAACCCCGTGGGAGAAACCCTAAACCCCGTGGGAGAAACCCTAAACCCCGTGGGAGAAACCCTAAACCGTATACTATTAAACAATGAAGACTACGGAGGGTTTTACTCACATCCAAAACGGGACCTGCATGGCTAAAACAACGTGGGCCTGTCTACAATAAATAGATAAAAAGGGAACGTCAGCTCACTGTTTTACTCCTCTCAAACTTCATATTTTAAGAAAGCTTTGGGGATTTAAGATTTATATCCAAGCGGTCTCAGGAGCCAAACCCTTTATCCACAGTCTTGACTACTTCGCGATTGCAATGGGCAGACAAAAAAAAAAAAAGCCTTAATTGAGAGGAAGGGAGGCTATGCTTGGTTCTTAATCAAATAAAACGAAATGGGGAAAAAAAACATAATTTTTCTAAATACAAAGTATACAGGCACTAAAAGCACATTCGGCTACTCTTGTTCCAGGTGCATATGGGTAGTGTGCGTCATGGACGGATAGGCCGTGTTTCCGCTGTCAAAATTCATGCCATAACCAACTGCGTTACCGCTAAAACCAGGTTGGTCTTAAATACCCCTATCAGCGCTGCCTGAAATTATCATTTTGGATCATGTTTTTAAAAGGACACAACTAAAATATTTCCACCCTGCCCAGCTCGCAGCGGAGCTGATATAAGACCTGGGCTGGAAAGTTCCAGTTTTTACTTGACGAAATTGCAAACTAGCTTTTGACACCTTAATGTCAGCCAAACATAGAGCCTACAGTGTGCATGCCTTTACTACAGCCAAGCATTTAAAAAAAGATGCTTCAGGATGCAGGACTGTAGTATGGGTCTGATTTAACAAGACGTTGATAGATGCTTCAGGATGCAGGACTGTAGTATGGGTCTGATTTAACAAGACCTATCCTACAGTATGTCCTGTTGGAAGGTGAACCTTCGCCCCAGTCTGAGGTCCTGAGCGCTCTGGAGCAGGTTTTCATCAAGGCTCTCTCTGTACTTTGTTCCGTTCATCTTTCCCTCGATCTTGACTAGTCTCCCAGTCCCTGCCGCTGAAAAACATCCCCACAGCATGATGCTGCCATCCCCATGCTTCACCGTAGGGATGGTGCCAGGTTTCCGCCAGACGTGACGCTTGGCATTCAGGTCAAAGAGTTCAATCTTGGTTTCATCAGAACAGGGAATCTTATTTTTCATGGTCTGAGAGTCTTTAAGTGCCTTTTGGCAAACTCCAAGCGGGCTGTCATGTGCCTTTTACTGAGGAGTGGCTTCCGTCTGGCCACTCTACCATAAAGGCCTGATTGGTGGAGTGCTGCAGAGATGGTTGTCCTTCTGGAAGGTTCTCCCATCTCCACAGAGGAACTCTAGAGCTCTGTCAGAGTGACCATCAGGTTCTTGGTCACCTCCCTGACCAAGGCCCTTCTCACCTGATTGCTCTGTTTGGCCGGCCGGCCAGCTCTAGGAAGAGTCTTGGTGGTTCTAAACTTCTTCCATTTAAGAATGATGGAGGCCACTGTGTTCTTGGGGACCATCAATGCTGCAGAAATGTTTTGGTACCCTTCCCCAGATCTGTGCCTCGACACAATCCTGTCTCGGAGCTCTACGGACAATTCCTTTGACCTCATAACTTGGTTTTTGCTCTGACATGCACTGTCAACTGTGGGACCTTATATAGACAGGTGTGTGCCTTTCCAAATCATGTCCAATCAATTGAATTTACCACAGGTTGACTCTAATCAAGTTGTAGAAACATCTCAAGGATGATCAATGGAAACAGGATGCACCTGAGCTCAATTTCGAGTCTCATAGCAAAGGGGCTGAATACTTATGCAATTAAGGTATTTCTGTTTTTTATTTGTAATAAATTAGCAAAACTGTCTACAAACCTGTTTTTGCTTTGTCATTATGGGGTATTGTGTGTAGATTGCTGAGGATTTTTTTTAATGTAATCCATTTTAGAATAAACTATTTCAATAAAATATTGAAAAAGTCAAGGGGTCTGAATACTTTCCCAAGGCACTGTATGTAGGGCTGGGAACAACAGAGTATATATGTAGGGCTGGGAACAACAGAGTATATATGTAGGGCTGGGAACAACAGAGTATATATGTACGGCTGGGAACAACAGAGTATATATGTAGGGCTGGGAACAACAGAGTATATATGTACGGCTGGGAACAACAGAGTATATATGTAGGGCTGGGAACAACAGAGTATATATGTACGGCTGGGAACAACAGAGTATATATGTAGGGCTGGGAACAACAGAGTATATATGTAGGGCTGGGAACAACAGAGTATATATGTAGGGCTGGGAACAACAGAGTATATATGTACGGCTGGGAACAACAGAGTATATATGTAGGGCTGGGAACAACAGAGTATATATGTAGGGCTGGGAACAACAGAGTATATATGTACGGCTGGGAACAACAGAGTATATATGTAGGGCTGGGAACAACAGAGTATACATGTAGGGCTGGGAACAACAGAGTATATATGTACGGCTGGGAACAACAGAGTATATATGTAGGGCTGGGAACAACAGAGTATATATGTAGGGCTGGGAACAACAGAGTATATATGTACGGCTGGGAACAACAGAGTATATATGTAGGGCTGGGAACAACAGAGTATATATGTAGTGTTGGGAACAACAGAGTATATATGTAGGGCTGGGAACAACAGAGTATATATGTAAGGCTGGGAACGTTGTGCTGATGTGTATTTTTACCATAGGACGTGGAGTTGAAGAGTTCGATGTTGAAGAAGATATAGCTGCCATTGGTGAGCCTCCTTCTGTGAACAGCTAGCATGATGTCTCGGACAACGTCCGCTCCCGCACACATGATAACAACTGCAAGGAAACAACATGGAGGAAACAGTTACACCTCAACCCAGCTTCAACCAGACTGGAAGTACATACAGTATTTACGGTAGGAGGCTGTTTCAGAAAACAAAATGTTCACAGGACAATTGTAATGTAAAGGATGCATATATTCTCCCTACAGGTTTAATACCCACAGTGCAACACCCCGTCACTTAGACAATGAACTGAAATCCTCTATTGTCGTTTCTTAAAAAACAAAGCATCTTAGCACAAATCACAAAAAACAATATCCTGGTGTGATGAGTAGAACCCTGCTGCCCTGCATGTCTGGTCTGACGCAGTCTTAGGGCACGTACTAAATGGCACTCTGGTCTAAAGTAGTGCACTATATAGGGAATAGGGTGCCATTCTCTGGTCTAAAGTAGTGCACTATATAGGGAATAGGGTGCCATTCTCTGGTCTAAAGTTGTGCACTATATAGGGAATAGGGTGCCATTCTCTGGTCTAAAGTAGTGCACTATATAGGGAATAGGGTGCCATTCTCTGGTCTAAAGTAGTGCACTATATAGGGAATAGGGTGCAGTTCTCTGGTCTAAAGTAGTTCACTATATAGGGAATAGGGTGCCATTCTCTGGTCTAAAGTAGTGCACTATATAGGGAATAGGGTGCCATTCTCTGGTCTAAAGTAGTGCACTATATAGGGAATAGGGTGCCATTCTCTGGTCTAAAGTAGTGCACTATATAGGGAATAGGGTGCCATTCTCTGGTCTAAAGTAGTGCACTATATAGGGAATAGTGTGCCATTCTCTGGTCTAAAGTAGTGCACTATATAGGGAATAGGGTGCCATTCTCTGGTCTAAAGTAGTGCACTATATAGGGAATAGGGTGCCATTCTCTGGTCTAAAGTAGTGCACTATATAGGGAATAGGGTGCCATTCTCTGGTCTAAAGTAGTGCACTATATATGGAATAGGGTGCCATTCTCTGGTCTAATGTAGTGCACTATATAGTGAATAGTGTGCCATTCTCTGGTCTAAAGTAGTGCACTATATAGGGAATAGGGTGCCATTCTCTGGTCTAAAGTAGTGCACTATATAGGGAGTAGGGTGCCATTCTCTGGTCTAAAGTAGTGCACTATGTAGGGAATAGGGTGCCATTCTCTGGTCTAAAGTAGTGCACTATATAGGGAATAGGGTGCCATTCTCTGGTCTAAAGTAGTGCTCTATATAGGGAATAGGGTGCCATTCTCTGGTCTAAAGTAGTGCACTATATAGGGAGTAGGGTGCCATTCTCTGGTTTAAAGTAGTGCACTATGTAGGGAATAGGGTGCCATTCTCTGGTCTAAAGTAGTGCACTATATAGGGAATAGGGTGCCATTCTCTGGTCTAAAGTAGTGCTCTATATAGGGAATAGGGTGCCATTCTCTGGTCTAAAGTAGTGCACTACATAGGGAATAGGGTGCCATTCTCTGGTCTAAAGTAGTGCACTATATAGGGAATAGGGTGCCATTCTCTGGTCTAAAGTAGTGCACTACATAGGGAATAGGGTGCCATTCTCTGGTCTAAAGTAGTGCACTATATAGGGAATAGGGTGCCATTCTCTGGTCTAAAGTAGTGCACTACATAGGGAATAGGGTGCCATTCTCTGGTCTAAAGTAGTGCACTATATAGGGAATAGGGTGCCATTCTCTGGTCTAAAGTAGTGCACTACATAGGGAATAGGGTGCCATTCTCTGGTCTAAAGTAGTGCACTATATAGGGAGTAGGGTGCCATTCTCTGGTCTAAAGTAGTGCACTATGTAGGGAATAGGGTGCCATTCTCTGGTCTAAAGTAGTGCACTATATAGGGAATAGGGTGCCATTCTCTGGTCTAAAGTAGTGCACTATATAGGGAATAGGGTGCCATTCTCTGGCCTAAAGTAGTGCACTATATAGGGAATAGGGTGCCATTCTCTGGTCTAAAGTAGTGCACTATATAGGGAGTAGGGGGGCCATTCTCTGGTCTAAAGTAGTGCACTATATAGGGAATAGGGTGCCATTCTCTGGTCTAAAGTAGTGCACTATATAGGGAATAGGGAGCCATTCTCTGGTCTAAAGTAGTGCACTATATAGGGATAGGGAGCCATTCTCTGGTCTAAAGTAGTGCACTATATAGGGAATAGGGTGCCATTCTCTGGTCTAAAGTAGTGCACTATAAAGGGAATAGGGTGCCATTCTCTGGTCTAAAGTAGTGCACTATATAGGGAGTAGGGGGGCCATGTGGGACGCAGCCTTTTCCTCTTGATGTATTCCAGCCTCTTTGGAGAATAAATGTCTGGAACATGTTTAACTGATCATGTCTCCAGTTAGGAGGGAAATAAAGCAGCAATACGCTTTAAACTTTTAGAAGGCATGATGAAACACACACATCACAGTTGTTGGTTCTATAGAAGTACCACGTGTTTGTAGTTGTTGGTACTATAGAAGTACCACGTGTTTGTTGTTGTTGGTACTATAGAAGTACCACGTGTTTGTTGTTGGTACTATAGAAGTACCATGTGTTTGTAGTTGTTGGTACTATAGAAGTACCACGTGTTTGTAGTTGTTGGTACTATAGAAGTACCACGTGTTTGTAGTTGTTAATTCTATAGAAGTACCACGTGTTTGTAGTTGTTGGTACTATAGAAGTACCACGTGTTTGTAGTTGTTGGTACTATAGAAGTACCACGTGTTTATAGTTGTGGGTACTATAGAAGTACCACGTGTTTGTTGTTGTTGGTACTATAGAAGTACCACGTGTTTGTTGTTGGTACTATAGAAGTACCATGTGTTTGTAGTTGTTGGTACTATAGAAGTACCATGTGTTGTTGGTTCTATAGAAGTACCACATATTTGTAGTTGTTGGTACTATAGAAGTACCACGTGTTTGCAGTTGTTGGTACTATAGAAGTACCATGTGTTTGTAGTTGTTGGTACTATAGAAGTACCACGTGTTTGTTGTTGTTGGTACTATAGAAGTACCACGTGTTTGTTGTTGGTACTATAGAAGTACCATGTGTTTGTAGTTGTTGGTACTATAGAAGTACCACGTGTTTGTAGTTGTTGGTACTATAGAAGTACCACGTGTTTGTAGTTGTTAATTCTATAGAAGTACCACGTGTTTGTAGTTGTTGGTACTATAGAAGTGCCATGTGTTTGTAGTTGTTGGTTCTATAGAAGTACCACGTGTTGTTGGTACTATAGAAGTAGAGGGAAATAAAACCACTACTTTTGATATCAGAGTAATAAGCTTCAATACTATGATTTCTCCTGTACCACCTTGGTTATACACACACACACACACACACACACACACACACACACAGACAGAAATTCACCGAGGACTCTATTCACCGAGGACTCTATTCACCGAGGACTCTATTCACCGAGGACTCTATTCAATCCGTATCGCGGCAGTTCAGCATTACAGCATGATTAAAATTTAAAGGCAATGATTCCCGTGTTAGCAGAGTCTGCATTCACGGTATATGCTGCATGTGTCGGCTCAAACGGAAATTACCTTTACATTTTTATCGCCCAATCTGTAACGCTTCACCGATAACACATTAAATAGAGTCCTGAGCCCTTTCCTAAAATGTTGGATGAGATTATAGAACTCATTGGGAGGGATCTGAGACCATTCTTACATACAGAATCCTTCCAGATCCTTGATATCCTTCCTCTGCGCTTATGGACTGCCCTCTTCAATTCAAACCACAGGTTTTCAATGGGGTTTAAGTCAGGAGACTGAGATGGCCATTGCAAAATGTTGATTTTGTGGATTTTGATGTGTGCTTGGGGTTATGGTCTTGCTGTGGAATATCCGTTTTGTGGCCAAGTTTCAGCCTCTAGTGGAGGCAACCAGGTTTTTGGCTAAAATGTCCTGGTACTGGGTAAAGTTCATGATGCCTTTGACCCCATTATATCAAAGATCCACCATTATATTTTGCAGTAGGTATGGGGTTATTTTCTGATTATGCATCCTTATTTCAACAGGTGGAACATTGTAAAAGATTGCCACTGAAAGTAAAAGAATGATGCCAGGTATTGTAATTAATAATAATAATAATAATAATAATAATAATAATATGCCATTTAGCAGACGCTTTTATCCAAAGCGACTTACAGTCATGTGCGCATACATGTTTACATATGGGTGGTCCCGGGGATCGAACCCACTACCCTGGCGTTACAAGCGCCATGCTCTACCAGCTGAGCTACAGAGGACCACGTCATGTTTTTGCACTATGCAATTTAGGGACCTAATTCTAACTTATTTCCATGTATGTACTATGTGTCACAGGAGGCTGGTGAGGGGAGGATGGCTCATAATAATACCTGGAATGGACTGCCTGGAATGGTATCAAACATATGGAAACGATGTGTTTGATACTGTTCCATTGGTTCCATTCCAGCCATTACTTTGAGCCCGTCCTCCTCAATTAAGGTGTCACCAGCTGTTAATGGCAACACTGCACAGCACAGCCAGGGGATACCTTTCCTTAGCCTGGGCCCAGATCTGTTAATGGCAACACTGCACAGCACAGCCAGGGGATACCTTTCCTTAGCCTGGTCCCAGATCTGTTAATGGCAACACTGCACAGCACAGCCAGGGGATACCTTTCCTTAGCCTGGGCCCAGATCTGTTAATGGCAACACTGCACAGCACAGCCAGGGGATACCTTTCCTTAGCCTGGGCCCAGATCTGTTAATGGCAACACTGCACAGCACAGCCAGGGGATACCTTTCCTTAGCCTGGGCCCAGATCTGTTAATGGCAACACTGCACAGCACAGCCAGGGGATACCTTTCCTTAGCCTGGGCCCAGATCTGTTAATGGCAACACTGCACAGCACAGCCAGGGGATACCTTTCCTTAGCCTGGTCCCAGAGCTGTTAATGGCAACACTGCACAGCACAGCCAGGGGATACCTTTCCTTAGCCTGGTCCCAGATCTGTTAATGGCAACACTGCACAGCACAGCCAGGGGATACCTTTCCTTAGCCTGGGCCCAGATCTGTTAATGGCAACACTGCACAGCACAGCCAGGGGATACCTTTCCTTAGCCTGGTCCCAGATCTGTTAATGGCAACACTGCACAGCACAGCCAGGGGATACCTTTCCTTAGCCTGGTCCCAGATCTGTTAATGGCAACACTGCACAGCACAGCCAGGGGATACCTTTCCTTAGCCTGGTCCCAGATCTGTTAATGGCAACACTGCACAGCACAGCCAGGGGATACCTTTCCTTAGCCTGGTCCCAGAGCTGTTAATGGCAACACTGCACAGCACAGCCAGGGGATACCTTTCCTTAGCCTGGTCCCAGATCTGTTAATGGCAACACTGCACAGCACAGCCAGGGGATACCTTTCCTTAGCCTGGGCCCAGATCTGTTAATGGCAACACTGCACAGCACAGCCAGGGGATACCTTTCCTTAGCCTGGTCCCAGATCTGTTAATGGCAACACTGCACAGCACAGCCAGGGGATACCTTTCCTTAGCCTGGTCCCAGATCTGTTAATGGCAACACTGCACAGCACAGCCAGGGGATACCTTTCCTTAGCCTGGTCCCAGATCTGTTAATGGCAACACTGCACAGCACAGCCAGGGGATACCTTTCCTTAGCCTGGTCCCAGATCTGTTAATGGCAACACTGCACAGCACAGCCAGGGGATACCTTTCCTTAGCCTGGGCCCAGATCTGTTAATGGCAACACTGCACAGCACAGCCAGGGGATACCTTTCCTTAGCCTGGGCCCAGATCTGTTAATGGCAACACTGCACAGCACAGCCAGGGGATACCTTTCCTTAGCCTGGTCCCAGATCTGTTAATGGCAACACTGCACAGCACAGCCAGGGGATACCTTTCCTTAGCCTGGTCCCAGATCTGTTAATGGCAACACTGCACAGCACAGCCAGGGGATACCTTTCCTTAGCCTGGTCCCAGATCTGTTAATGGCAACACTGCACAGCACAGCCAGGGGATACCTTTCCTTAGCCTGGTCCCAGATCTGTTAATGGCAACACTGCACAGCACAGCCAGGGGATACCTTTCCTTAGCCTGGTCCCAGATCTGTTAATGGCAACACTGCACAGCACAGCCAGGGGATACCTTTCCTTAGCCTGGTCCCAGATCTGTTAATGGCAACACTGCACAGCACAGCCAGGGGATACCTTTCCTTAGCCTGGGCCCAGATCTGTTAATGGCAACACTGCACAGCACAGCCAGGGGATACCTTTCCTTAGCCTGGTCCCAGATCTGTTAATGGCAACACTGCACAGCACAGCCAGGGGATACCTTTCCTTAGCCTGGGCCCAGATCTGTTAATGGCAACACTGCACAGCACAGCCAGGGGATACCTTTCCTTAGCCTGGTCCCAGATCTGTTAATGGCAACACTGCACAGCACAGCCAGGGGATACCTTTCCTTAGCCTGGGCCCAGATCTGTTAATGGCAACACTGCACAGCACAGCCAGGGGATACCTTTCCTTAGCCTGGTCCCAGATCTGTTAATGGCAACACTGCACAGCACAGCCAGGGGATACCTTTCCTTAGCCTGGGCCCAGATCTGTTAATGGCAACACTGCCACAGCACAGCCAGGGGATACCTTTCCTTAGCCTGGGCCCAGATCTGTTAATGGCAACACTGCACAGCACAGCCAGGGGATACCTTTCCTTAGCCTGGTCCCAGATCAGTTAATGGCAACACTGCACAGCACAGCCAGGGGATACCTTTCCTTAGCCTGGTCCCAGATCTGTTAATGGCAACACTGCACAGCACAGCCAGGGGATACCTTTCCTTAGCCTGGGCCCAGATCTGTTAATGGCAACACTGCACAGCACAGCCAGGGGATACCTTTCCTTAGCCTGGTCCCAGATCTGTTAATGGCAACACTGCACAGCACAGCCAGGGGATACCGTTCCTTAGCCTGGGTCCCAGAGCTGTTATGGCAACACTGCACAGCAACAGCCCAGGGGATACCTTCCTAGCCTGTCCCATAGCTGTTAATGGCACACTGCAACAGCAGCAGCCGGGGATACTTTCCTTAGCCTGGTCCCAGATCTGTTAAAAATGGCAACACTGCACAAGCCCCACAGCCAGGGATACCTTTCCTTAGCCTGGTTCCCAGATCTGTTAATGTCCACACTGCACAGCACAGCCAGGGATACCTTTCTTAGCCTGGCCCAGAGCTGTTTAATGCAACACTGGCACAGCACAAGCCAGGGGATACCTTTCTTAGCCTGGTCTCCAGAGCTGTTAATTGGCAACACTTGCAACAGCACACCAGTTGATACTTTTTCCTTAGCCTGGTCCCAGAGCTGTTAATGGACACTAACAGCAAACAGCCGGGGATACCTTTCCTTAGCCTGGGCCCAGATCTGTTTGTGTTTGGCGTAGAGGAAAATGGGCAGAAATCCATATGATAAATTGACTGAATTGATGTGATAACGATAAATAGAATAATACTTTTTTTTATTTCCCTTTAAACTACTACTACTAGTTTGATGGTTGGAGACATCAATTGTCCCATAAAATGACCCATATTAGCAAACTTATTACATTTCAAACTTCACATTTCTCTAGTATAGGCTACTTATCATAATGAACGATAAACAAAACGCCGGTGATAAGTGGTCAGCACGGTTGGTCAGTGTCGATCGTTTTCGGTTTATCGCCCCTGCTATAGTTTGACAGAGTTGAGGTAACAATGTCTGAAGTTAAGTACATTTAATCTCCACTGTGAAAACGTCGGACTCTGAAGTGATTTGAAACGTCGTGGTACCTTGTTGAAACATAAGCCATGTTAGGCAACAGCACAGAGCAGTCTACAGTACAGAAGGTATTCCCAGCTCCACAAATATCAGAAAACCTGTCCAATAGTTACAGTACATAACTAGCGTACAGTAGAGGACAGTCAGCAAGCGCTCGGCCCCAGTCCTTACCCAAATATCAACACAAAACGTGTCTGGTTGCTATGGAGTTTAAAAATAAAACCCCTAACAGACTCACAAACAAACAATGAGGAGAAGGTTTGGAAATAACTCAGAGTGTCCCAGTGTCGACCAGCCGTGGTTAATAGGGCAGATTCAGAGTCTGCATCCCAAATGGCACCCTATTCCCTATATAGTGCACTACTTTAGACCAGAGAATGGCACCCTATTCCCTATATAGTGCACTACTTTAGACCAGAGAATGGCACCCTATTCCCTATATAGTTCACTACTTTAGACCAGAGAATGGCACCCTATTCCCTATTTAGTTCACTACTTTAGACCAGAGAATGGCACCCTATTCCCTATATAGTGCACTACTTTAGACCAGAGAATGGCACCCTATTCCCTATTTAGTTCACTACTTTAGACCAGAGAATGGCACCCTATTCCCTATTTAGTTCACTACTTTAGACCAGAGAATGGCACCCTATTCCCTATATAGTGCACTACTTTAGACCAGAGAATGGCACCCTATTCCCTATTTAGTTCACTACTTTAGACCAGAGAATGGCACCCTATTCCCTATTTAGTTCACTACTTTAGACCAGAGAATGGCACCCTATTCCCTATTTAGTTCACTACTTTAGACCAGAGAATGGCACCCTATTCCCTATTTAGTTCACTACTTTAGACCAGAGAATGGCACCCTATTCCCTGTTTAGTTCACTACTTTAGACCAGAGAATGGCACCCTATTCCCTATTTAGTTCACTACTTTAGACCAGGGTCCATAGGACTCCCTATATAGTGTACTACATTAGACCAGGGTCCATAGGACTCCCTATATAGTGTACTACCCATAAGGTTCTGGTCTAAAGTAGTGCACTATGTAGGGAATAGGGTGCCATTTGGGATGCACACAGAGTCTTCTGAAAAATCCCCCACAGCTCTTCTGTCACTGTAGCGACCAGCGCCACGCGGTTCCTGAAATATCCTCTTGCTCCTCAGAGAGGGGGACACACTTCCTCAGTCCTGCTGCTGTCAGCACTACTGCCCCCATTTAATTCACCATGCTGGGACAGAGACAACACGTACAGCCCTGTCTCTGTCTCCCTGTGTCTGTCTCCCGGTGTCTGTCTCCCGGTGTCTGTCTCCCGGTGTCTGTCTCCCGGTGTCTGTCTCCCGGTGTCTGTCTCCCGGTCTCTGTCACCCGGTGTCTGTCTCCCGGTGTCTGTCTCCCGGTGTCTGTCTCCCGGTATCTGTCTCCCTGTGTGTGTGTGTCTCTGTGTATGTGTCTCTGTGTATGTGTGTGTGTGTGTGTGTGTGTGTGTATGTGTCTCTGTGTATGTGTGTGTGTGTGTGTGTCTCTCTGTGTCTGTCTGTTCTCCCCCCTCTAGGTAGAGCGCACTGACGCTAGTTACAAATGAGCTTAGGAATGCAGAGAAGGGGGCTACTTATCGTGGCTCACAGGGTGTTTAATGTGCTCATTATAAACATGGTGTAGTGTGAGTTCATTATGCAAATAGGAGAACGACGTTGTGCTAACTTATAACGCTGCCTGCCTGACTGACTGACTGACTGCCTGCCTGTCTGTCTGCCTGCCTGACTGCCTGCCTGCCTGCCTGTCTGTCTGTCTGCCTGACTGCCTGCCTGACTGCCTGCCTGCCTGTCTGCCTGTCTGTCTGACTGTTACTACTGAGATGCTGAGATGCTCATGGTCAGGATCTTTATTCGGATATTCTGCTGCTGTGGGGCAGAGCGATAGAACTAGAGAGGAGTGAAGGGGAGTGGGGAGGGGAGGAGTGTGGAGAGGTTTTCGGATCTGAGGTAGGAAGAAGAGTGGAAGGTGAGAGGAGAGGAGGAGGAGAGGCGGACGAGGAGGGACAGAGAGGGGACCAGGAGGGGGAGGAGGAGAGTTGAGGAGAGGAGGGAGGAGAGGGCAAGTGGAGGAGGAGGGAGGAGAGGAGAGGAGGACCCTGGGCAGGGGAGTGGAGAGGAGGAGAGGGGAGGAAGACGAGGAGGAGAGAGTGTGAGTGAGAGGAGGAGAGAGGGGAGAGAGGGAGCGCGGAGGAAGTGGTAGTTGGAGAGGACGGACGAGGAGAGAGTGTGGAGTGGAGGAGGAGGGGGGGAGGAGAGAGTGGAGTGGAGGAGGACGAGGAGGATGAGGAAGTGGTATCAGTGGAGAGGAGGACGGAGGAGAGGAGGGAGATGATGGTAGGAGTGGAGAGGGAGCGAGGGAGAGGGAGGAAGGAGGAGTGAGAGGAGTGGAGAGGAGGAGAGGAGGAGAGAGTGGAGTGGAGAGGAGGAGAGAGTGGAAGTGCGAGAGGAGGACAGAGAGGAACAGAGTGGAGAGGAGGAGAGGAGGAGCGAGCGGGATGGAGTGGAGAGAGGAGAGAGTGGAGTGGAGAGGAGGAGAGAGTGGAGTGGAGGGGAGGATTGGGGAAGTGGAGGAGGAGAGTGTTTAGAGGTGAGTGGAGGAGAGGGAGAAGAGTTGGAGTGGAGGGGATGGAGGAGGACGAGAGCTGGAGAGGAGGAGAGGAGGAAGGAGATTCCCACTGGGGAGAGAGTGGAGTGGCAGAGGGGAGCAGTGAGGAGAGAGGGAGTGGAGCAGTCTGGCAGAGGAAGGGGATGAGAGGGGGGAGGAGGAGAGGTGGAGTGGAGAATGAGGAGAGGAGGAGACGGAGGAGAGGAGAGCGGAGGAGAGAGTGGCCAGGGGAGAGGAGGAGCGGAGGAGAGGAGGGGATGAGAGTGGAGGAGTGGAGAGAGGAGAGAGTGGCGAGGAGGAGAGGAGAGAGGTGGAAGAGTGGAGAGGGAGGAGGAGCGGGAGCGGAGTGTGGGAGAGGAGGGAGAGGAGGAGAGAGGAGCAGTTGGAGTGGAGAGGAGGAGGAGTGGAGCAGGTGGAGGGAGAGAGAGTGGGAGAGGAGATGAGGGCGCGCGAGGAGAGGAGGAGGAGAAGGAGAGTTCGGAAGTTGGGAGTGGAGAGGAGGACGAGGAGGAGAGGAAGAGGAGACGGAGGAGGGCAATGATTGGGAGGGGAGAGAGTATGGTCGGGGAGGGGAGAGGACGGAGGCGAGGGGCGGAGAGGAGTCACGCACCAGCTCGACCGAGAGGGGGAGGGAGAGAGGAGGACGGAGAGCAGGGGAAGAGGGTTGAGAGAGGGGCAGAGGTAGCGAGAGGACGAAGCTGAGGATTGAGGAGGAAGAGAGGCGGAAGTGGAGAGGAGGCCCCACCAAAGGGCGAGGAGAGGAGAGAGCTGAGTGAGGAGAGGACCGGAGAGGACTGGATGAGGAGGATCGAGTCAGACAGGATGAGCGAGGACGAGGAAGGGAGAGAGGGGGACGGTCAGAGAGGATGGGAGAGGAGACGGAGAGCGCAGAGGAGCGGCGATGGATGGCGAGGGAACCCGCAGGACGACGAAGAGATGGAGGAGAGAGGGGAGGGGAGTAGAGGAGGAGAAGGATCGCGAGATAGGGAGGTAGGAGAGGAGGAGAGAGGAGAGGGCAGAAGGGGAGAGGAGGAGGTAGGAGAGAGGGGAGAGGGGAGGACCGCACAACGAGAGTAGGAGAGGAGGAGAGGAGGAGAGGAGCGAGGGCAGGAGGAGAAGAGGGGAGGAAGGACGAGAAGAGGAGGAGAGGAGGAAGAGCGAGTAGGAGAGGAGGAGAGGACGGAGAGAGGGTGGAGTGGGAGGGAGGGAGGGACAGGAGAGGAGGAGACAAGGTGAGGAGGATAGAGGCATGAGGGAGGAGAGATTGGAGGGGAGAGGAGGAGAGGAGGAGATGAGGGAGGAGGAGAAGTGGTAGAAGGAGAGTGGAGAGGAGGAGGGAGAGTGGAGAGGAGGGAGGAAGTGAGAGAGAGATGTGGAGTGGAGAAGGAGGCGAGCGGAGGAGAGGAGGAGAGGAGGAGGAAAGTGGAAGTGGAGAGGAGGAGAGAGTGGAGAGGGGAGGAGTGGAGTGGAGAGAGGAAGGAGGAGTGGAGTGGAAGCGGAGAGGAGGAGGAGATGGGGAGGGAGAGGAGAGAGAGTGGGTGGAGGAGAGGAGGAGGAGAGTGGATGGAGTGGAGAGGAGGAGGAGAGTGTGGAGTGGAGGGAGGAGAGAGGGGAGGGGAGTGGGCGAGGAGAGAGGGAGGCGCCAGGTCTCCCTCAGGGCGGATGGCTGCGAGGAGTGGTAACGGCAGTGAGACGAGAGGGGCAGAGGAGGTGAGAGGGGGGCGAGAGGCGCAGATGAGGGGAGAGAACGACCGATGGAAGGAGAGAGGGAGCGTGTCTGGGGATGAGGAGGATGAGGAGGCGAAGTGAAGGAGGAGAGAATACGGAGGAGAGAGGATGCCGAGAGTGGACCGAGGAGGGGAAGAGGAGGAGAGGAGGGAGAGCGGGGAAGGGGGAAGAGGACCACGGAAGAGAGTGGAAGAGGGAGCAACGGGGAGAGGAGGAAGAGAGGGGAGAAGGACGAGCAGAGGGGAGGAGAGGAGATGAGGGTTTTTTAGAGGAGAGGAGGAGGAGCCCGACGGAGAGGGGTAGCTTCAGGGGGAGAGGAGGATAGAGCAGACACAGAGAGGGGATAGGTGGGAACATGCGGAGGAGGATGAGGAGGAGAGCAGACAGGAGAGAGGGCGAGAGGAGGAGAGGAGGAGAGAGGGGTGAGCGAGGGGATGAGGAGATGAGACAGGCTGAGAGGATGAGAGCGAGCTCAGGGGAAAGGGGAGAGGAGTGAGAGGAAGGGGAGAGGGGAGAGAGGAGAGGGGCAGGGGAGGGGAGGAGAGGAGGACGAGAGGGGGGGAGGGAGAGGAGGAGATGAGAGGCGGAGAGGAGGATGAGAGAGGATGAGGAGGGGAGGAGAGGAGGGGAGAGACGGGAGAGGAGAGGAGGAGAGAGTGGGCTAGGGGAGAGGAGGAGGAGAGGTGGAGGGCGACAGGGAGGGGAGAGAGCTGGAGGAGCGAGGAGAGACGAGAAGAGAGGAGGAGACGAGGGGAAGAGGAACGGGAGAGAGGGGAGAGGAGACGAGAGTGGAGGGAGTGGAGAGGAAGAGTTAAGAGAGAGGGGGAGGAGGAGGGAGAGGGGAAGGGGGAGAGGGAGGGATTGCGCCGAGGAGGAGAGAGTTGGAGTGGAGAGGGAAGAGGAGGAGAGAGTGGAGTGGAGAGGAGGAGAGAGTGGAGAAGAGGAGGAGGGAGGGGGAGGGAGATGGAGTGGAGAGAGGAGCAGAGGAGAGGAGGAGAGAGTGGAGTGGAGAGGAGGAGAGAGGAGTGGAGTGGAGAGGAGGAGAGAGTGGAGAGGGGGAAGGAGAGTGGAGTGGAAGGAGAGGAGGAGAGAGGGGAGAGGAGAGGAGTGGAGTGGAGAGGAGAGGAGGAGGAGGAGAGTGGAGGGAGGACGAGGAGGAGAGAGTGCGAGTGGATGAGGAGGAGGAGAGGCGGAGAGGAGGAGAGGGAGTGGAGTGAGAGGAGGGGAGAGAGTGGAGAGGAGAGGAGAGAGTGGAGTGAGGAGGAGAGGAGGAGAGAGTGGAGTGGAGGAGTGGGTAGTGAGAGGAGGAGAGGAGATCAGTGCTATATCTTATTATGGTGCTTCCCATACATTTTACAGTAGAATATAAAACTCTTTTTAGAATGGCCATGGCTGTCAAAGTTTGTTTGTTATTTTTTTTTCAATACTCCAATTACCCCACCGAAGACAAGTTTTAAAAAAGTAATACTTGGTCAGAACAGACTTGATATGGGCAAATAAACTCATAGAATAAAAAGAAGGTTTTTCCATTCTTCCTCAGTCTGAGGGGCGTTTTTTTAAAACCTTCCTCAGTCGGAGGGGAGTTTAAAATTCCTCAGTCTGAGGGGGCGTTTTAACTTCCTCTAGTCCTGAGGGGCGTTTAACCTTCTGAGTCTGAGGGGCGCGTTTTTTAACCTTCCTCAGTCTGAGGGGCGTTTTAACCCTTCCATGAGGGTCTGAGGGGCGTTTTAACCCTTCCTCCGTCTGAGGGGGCGTTTTAACCTTCCTGGAGTCTGAGGGGCGTTTTTTTAACCTTTCCTCAGTCTGAGGGGCGTTTTTTTTAACCTTCCTGAGTATGAGGGCGTGTTTAACCTTCCTCAGTCTGAGGGTGCCGTTTTTTAACCTTCCTGAGTCTGAGGGGCTGATTTTAACCTTCCTTCCAGTTCTGAGGGGCGTTTTTAACCTTTCCTGAGTGCTTGAGGGGGCGTTTTTAACCTTCCCCTCAGTCTGAGGGGCGCTTTTAACCCTTCCTCAGTCTGAGGGCGTTTTAACCTTCCTGAGTCTGAGGGGGGGTGTTAACCTTCCGGTCTGGAGGGGGGTTTTAACCTTCCTCAGTCTGAGGGGCGTTTTAACCTTCCTCAGTCTGAGGGGCGTTTTAACCTTCCTCAGTCTGAGGGGCGTTTTAACCTTCCTGAGTCTGAGGGGGGTTTTAACCTTCCTGAGTCTGAGGGGCGTTTTAACCTTCCTCAGTCTGAGGGGCGTTTTAACCTTCCTGAGTCTGAGGGGCGTTTTAACCTTCCTCAGTCTGAGGGGCGTTTTAACCTTCCTCAGTCTGAGGCGTTTTATTTAACCTTCCTGAGTCTGAGGGGGGTTTTAACCTTCCAGAGTCTGAGGGGGGTTTTAACCTTCCTCAGTCTGAGGGGCGTTTTAACCTTCCTCAGTCTGAGGGGCGTTTTAACCTTCCTCAGTCTGAGGGGCGTTTTAACCTTCCTGAGTCTGAGGGGGGTTTTAACCTTCCTGAGTCTGAGGGGCGTTTTAACTTCCTCAGTCTCAGGGGCGTTTTTAACCTTCCTCAGGTCTAGGGGCGTTTTAACATTCCTCAGTCTGAGGGGCGTTTTAACCTTCCTCAGTCTGAGGGGCGTTTTAACCTTCCTCAGTCTGAGGGGCGTTTTAACCTTCCTGAGTCTGAGGGGGGTTTTAACCTTCCTCAGTCTGAGGGGCGTTTTAACCTTCCTGAGTCTGAGGGGGGTTTTAACCTTCCTGAGTCTGAGGGGCGTTTTAACCTTCCTCAGTCTGAGGGGGGTTTTAACCTTCCAGACTTGGAATTGGATCAACTCACCAACCAAGGCTTTCGCTTGAGACATATAGTTAAATGCACTAAACAGGAACAATGGGTACAGATTGAGGATGTTCATGCTCATTCCCAGAATGTTTTTACGTGTCTATTTTCAAAAGGATAAAGCTAAGAACATTAACAACTTCATAGTTAAGAACACTATAACAATATGGAAGATAATGAAACATATTCTACAAGAACCAATATCACTCCCTAAAAACACACCCCTTATGGAACAATCCTTGGAGAGCTTTTCAGAACTCACCGACAAATTGGACCACATGGAAAACTAAAGGGCATAGAAACAGGAAATGACTTGGTAACAGGAAATACATGACAGAATACATTTTGGACTGACCAATCTAGATAGTTTCAAAATACATGCAACTTAAAAGTTAAATAGCACAAAATGTCTATTTGAAATATTTTGGACATCAGAGCAATCTTGAGGGAATCTTATTTGATTCAGAAAAGGATGTTCATATGATACGGAACATATACAAATCCTTGCTGAGAGCATATCCAACTGACAATCTCTTAGAAAACAATATTAACTAAAAGAGAACTGATGTTGGCCCAAGATTGAGGGAACGTTTGAGCATAACTAACAAAAATTACAGTTAATTAAAATGTACGCTTAATCCAGTATAAGCTAATGTATATAATGAATTTAAAATACAAGAGACAAAATTGACAAATTCTACACAGCACAACGGCAGAGTCATGTCTTAAGTGTAAAACTAATAATGACTCAGTAATTCATGCCTTCTGGGAATGCTGTGAAGTCAAAAAGTTATGGGCGGAGCTAGAAAGTTGGCTGTCAGATGTATTATAATGTCAACTTAGTTTTAATCCGTCTGTCTGCATATTTCAAGACATGGCATATGGGGGAGTAGTGAGATACCCGATGGGCTGGATGATTCTCTTCTCATCACTCATCTTGAAAAAACGTATACTAAAAAACTTGGAAATCAATCAATCTGCCATCATTAACACAATGGAAAAATCTGATTATTTTATTATTGAAATATTGAAAGTGCATGGGCCACGGAGAGAAACAAAATGGTGCAGTTTGAGGCCATGTGGCGGAGAGCGATATTCGGGCGCTGGAGATGGGGGGGGGGGGGGGGGACAGGTGGGGTATGGGCAAGGGAGGATGTGGTTGATGGAGATGGGGGTGGGAAGCAGGTGGGTCTGAGGCAGGGGGGATGTGGTGATGGCGATGGGGGGAGTGGGGAGCAGGTGGGTCTGGGGCAGGGGGGGATGGGTTGATGGAGATGGGGGTGGAGAGGGTGGGTCTGGGCAGGGAGTCTCCGCATGGGGGTTTTGATGGAGATGGGGGGTTTGTGAGCAGGTTGTGAGCAGGTGGGTATGGGCAGGGGGGATGTGGTTGATGGGAGATGGGGGTGTGGGCAGGTGGGTCTGGGCAGGGGGGGATGCTGGTTTTGATGGAGATGGGGGGTGAGCAGGTGGGTCTGGGAAGGGAGGATGTGTTGAGGAAGATGGGGGCGGGAGCAGGTGGGTCTGGGGCAGGAGGGGTGTGGTTGATGGAGATGGGGGTGGTGAGCAGGTGGGTCTGGGCAGGGAGGATGTGGTTGATGGGGAGGGGGGTATTCCCTTTGTGAGCAGGGGTGTGATGTGGTTGAGGAGAGATGGCGGGGGGGAGCCGGTGGGTCTGTCTGGGCAGGTGTGTGATGTGGGTGATGGGAGGGGGGGTGTTGTGAGAGGGTGGGTATGGGCAGGGGGATGTGGTGAGTGGAGATGGGGTGGGGAGCAGGTGGGGTCGGGCAGGGGGGATATGGTTGATGGAGATGGGGGTGTGAGCAGGTGGGTCTGGGCAGGTGTGATATAGTTTATGTTCATATGATGTTGTCGTTTGTACACTATATATACACAAAAGTATGTGGACACCCCTTCAAATGAGTGGATGCTGCTATTTCAGCCACACAAGTTGCTGACAGGTGTATAAAATCGAGCACACAGCCACGCAATCTCCATAGACAAACATTGGCAGTAACAAAGATGAGAGATCACTTCTTCCTCTCTGACAAGCGGTTTCAACTCGCTATTTGCTTTTTGAGGTTTGGTCCAACAGAATCGGTCATATGGACACAAACACATTGAGACATTATTTCAAATCAAATCAAATCAAATTTTATTGGTCACATGCGCCGAATACAACAGGTGCAGACATTACAGTGAAATGCTTACTTACAGCCCTAAACCAACAGTGCATTTATTTTTTTATAAAAAAGTAAAAATAAAACAACAACAAAAAAAGTGTTGAGAAAAAAAGAGCAGAAGTAAAATAAAGTGACAGTAGGGAGGCTATATATACAGGGGGGTACCGTTGCAGAGTCAATGTGCGGGGGCACCGGCTAGTTGAGGTAGTTGAGGTAATATGTACATGTGGGTAGAGTTAAAGTGACTATGCATAAATACTTAACAGAGTAGCAGCAGTGTAAAAAGATGGGGTGGGGGGGCAGTGCAAATAGTCCGGGTAGCCATGATTAGCTGTTCAGGAGTCTTATGGCTTGGGGGTAGAAGCTGTTGAGAAGTCTTTTGGACCTAGACTTGGCACTCCGGTACCGCTTGCCGTGCGGTAGCAGAGAGAACAGTCTATGACTAGGTTGGCTGGAGTCTTTGACAATTTTGAGGGCCTTCCTCTGACACATTATATGACTGTAATAGAGGGGAAGTTAACCTTTCTAACCATACCCCTTTTTTACATTCTGTCTCAACTCCTCAAATTGAGCTCAGAGCAGATACTACTAAAAAACGGGAGTATCGATGAACATTGATTTTGAAAATGAATGCTCAGTTTGTCGCGCGCGGCATTGCGTTAGAACCACTAGCAGCATGTTAGCCAAAGACTGTTATACTAGCTGTCTAGTCGGTGTTTTATAAATGTGCAATAAGCATAAAAATGCAATTATATAAAGGAATACACTGCATTTCAAACTGTCAGCAATAATCTAATGAATTCAGGGTTTGTGAAATTATACTCAGACACACTAATAATTTAACTAGTGTAATTGTACAACAAAGCTTATTTAGAAAACATTTAAAATAATCGAGATATACAGTATATTGTGAATTGGCCATAATAAATAAAAAATCTAGATATGATTTTTAGGCCAGGTCGCCCAGCACTACAGGCTACAGGCTTTACAGTGTTGCTAGCTCTGTTTACGTACCGGTAATATCGAATCCTCAGACTACTGACAGTGTTGCTAGCTGTGTATACGTACCGGTAGTATCTAATCCTCAGACTACTGACAGTGTTGCTAGCTGTGTATACGTACCGGTAGTATCTAATCCTCAGACTACTGACAGTGTTGCTAGCTGTGTTTACGTACCGGTAGTATCTAATCCTCAGACTACGGACAGTGTTGCTAGCTGTGTTTACGTACCGGTAGTATCGAATCCTCAGACTACTGACAGTGTTGCTAGCTGTGTTTACGTACCGGTAATATCGAATCCTCAGACTACGGACAGTGTCCGCTGGGGGCAAAATATTCATTGGATGTTAAATTTCAAGAACCCTCCCCCACATGCCGGGTAGGACCCATTTTGCAGAGAGTTCCGTACGCTAGTTTGCAACATAGCAGAAAATCGAAGAAACCCCGGCGGAAAAAACGGAGGGTGCTCTATACAGAACATCATCATACACCAACCTATTCTGATGATATTTTAATCTGAGATTTCCTGGCCACACTGTTGTACCTACTACACTAATCTAGTGAGCAAATTTGGAGCTCCTCCCAAAAAAGGAATTTGATTGGTTTGACGTGTTGCGAGGAGTGACGGATTTACACCGGGTTCACTATAATATTAATATTTGTTTATTTTTTACCATCGACTTCCCCAGGCATCCCGTTTAGGGAACTTCCCCAGGCATCCCGTTTAGGGAACTCAAAGAGGCTACTAGTTGCCTGGTATGGCAACTGCTTGGCCTCCGACCGCAAGGCACTACAGAGGGTAGTGCGTACGGCCCAGTACATCACTGGGGCAAAGCTTCCTGCCATCCAGGACCTCTATACCAGGCGGTGTCAGAGGAAGGCCCTCAAAATTGTCAAAGACTCCAGCCACCCTAGTCATAGACTGTTCTCTCTGCTACCGCACGGCAAGCGGTACCGGAGTGCCAAGTCTAGGTCCAAAAGACTTCTCAACAGCTTCTACCCCCAAGCCATTAGACTCCTGAACAGCTAATCATGGCTACCCGGACTATTTGCACTGCCCCCCCACCCCATCCTTTTTACGCTGCTGCTACTCTGTTAAGTATTTATGCATAGTCACTTTAACTCTACCCGCATGTACATATTACCTCAACTACCTCAACTAGCCGGTGCCCCCGCACATTGACTCTGCAACGGTACCCCCCTGTATATATAGCCTCCCTACTGTCACTTTATTTTACTTCTGCTCTTTTTTTCTCAACACTTTTTTTTGTTGTTGTTTTATTTTTACTTTTTTTTGTTTAAAATAAATGCACTGTTGGTTAAGGGCTGTAAGTAAGCATTTCACTGTAATGTCTGCACCTGTTGTATTCGGCGCATGTGACCAATAAAATTTGATTTGATTTAATTTGTGTACATCTTAGTCTTCAGGCTTGATAGTGCCAGCTGTATATTTACATTACATTTACATTTACGTCATTTAGCAGACGCTCTTATCCAGAGCGACTTACAAATTGGTGCATTCACCTTATAGCCAGTGGGATAACCACTTTACAATATGTTTTTTTTCTTCTTATCTTTGGGGGGGGGGTAGAAGGATTACTTTATCCTATATCCCAGGTATTCCTTGAAGAGGTGGGGTTTCAAGTGTCTCCGGAAGTTGGTGAGTGACTCCGCTGTCCTGGCGTCGTGAGGGAGCTTGTTCCACCATTGGGGTGCCAGAGCAGCGAACAGTTTTGACTGGGCTGAGCGGGAACTGTGCTTCCGCAGAGGTAGGGGGGCCAGCAGGTCAGAGGTGGATATCCTAGTCAGACTACAGACTTGATAGTGCCAGCTGTATATCCCTATGGATAGACCCCAGTCAATGGAAGTAGTCTTTTGTATAATTTAGCTAGATAGTTCCCAATTCAATAAAAAAATGTGTTCATGAACATTAACACCTTATTTATTCTTCATTTTGTGTGGAACTGCTCCAGAGAAGATGGCTGCCGTTTTACAGCCCTCTAACCAATTGTACTATTATGTGTGTTTTTTAACGTTATTTGTAATTTATTCTGTACATAATGTTTCTGCCATCGTCTCTTATGACCAAAAAGAGCTTCTGGATATCAGGACAGCGATTTCCCACCTCGTATTGGACGAATATTTTTTTCTTCAACGAGTCGGATGCAAAGGATATCCTACAGACACCCGACAAGGCCCAAATCCCCGTCATTCGCATGAGGAAGAGACGGAGATATCGTGGACGTAGGTCGGGGTGCCTTGTAAGGATCCGACGGCGAGCGAGTAAACTGCCTCTTCCATCAATCCTATTAGCCAATGTTCAATCATTTGAAAACAAATAGGATGACCTAAGATTAAGGTTATCCTACCAACGGGACATTAAAAACTGTAATATCTTATGTTTCACCGAGTCGTGGCTGAAAGAAGATATGAATAACATACAGCTGACGGGATATACGCTACATCGTCAGGATAGAACGGCTGACTCCGGTAAGACAAGGGGTGGCGGTCTGTGTATATTTGTAAACAACAGCTGGTGCATAAAATCTAATACTAAGGAAGTCTCAAGGTTTTGCTCGCGTGAGGTAGAGTATCTCATGATAAGCTGTAGACCACACTATTTACCAAGAGAGTTTTAATCTATATTTTTCGTAGCTGTCTATTTACCACCACAAACCAATGCTGGCATTAAGATTGCACTGAATGAGCTGTATAAGGCCATAAGTCAACAGGAAAACGCTCATCCAGAGGCAGCGCTCCTAGTGGCCGGGGACTTTAATGCAGGGAAACTTAAATCCGTTCTACCTAATTTCTACCAGCATGTTAAAAGTGCAACCAGAGAAAAAAATAAAAATAAAATAAATAAAAAACTCTAGACCACCTTTACTCCACCCACAGAGACGCGTACAAAGCTCTCTCTCGCCCTCCATTTGGCAAATCTGACCATAACTCTATCCTCCTGATTCCTGCTTATAAGCAAAAACTAAAGCAGGAAGCACCAGTGACTCGGTTCATAAGGAAGTGGTCAGGTGAAGCAGATGCTAAGCTACAGGACTGTTTTGCTAGCACAGACTGGAACATGTTCAGGGATTCTTCCGATAGAATTGAGGAGTACGCCACATCAGTCACTGGCTTCATCAATAAGTGCATCGATGATGACGTCCCCACAGTGACCGTACGTACATACCCCAACCAGAAGCCATGGATTACAGGAAACATCCGCACTGAGCTAAAGGTAGAGCTGCCACTTTCAAGGAGCGGGACTCTAACCCGGACGCTTATAAGAAATCCTGCTATGCCCTCCGACAAACCATCAAACAGGCCAAGAGTCAATACAGGACTAAGACTGAATCGTACTACACAGGCTCCGACGCTCGTCAGATGTGGCAGGGCTTGAAAACTATTACAGACTACCAAGGGAAGCACAGCCGTGAGCTGCCCAGTGACACAAGCCTACCAGACGAGCTAAATCACTTCTATGCTCGCTTCAAGGCAAGCAACACTGAAGCATGCATGAGAGCATCAGCTGTTCCGGATGACTATGTGATCACGCTCTCCGTAGCTGACGTAAGACTTTTAAGCTGGTCAACATTCACAAGGCCGCAGGGCCAGACGGATTACCAGGACGTGTACTCCGAGCATGCGCTGACCAACTGGCAAGTGTCTTCACTGACATTTTCAACACGTCCCTGACGGAGTCTGTAATACCAACATGTTTCAAGCAGCCCACCATAGTCCCTGTGCCCAAGAACACTAAGATAACCTGCCTAAATGACTACCGACCCGTAGCACTCACGTCTGTAGCCATGAAGTGCTTTGAAAGGCTGGTCATGGCTCACATCAACACCATTATCCCAGAAACCCTAGACCCACATAATTTGCATACCGCCCCAACAAATTGACAGATGATGCCATCTCTATTGCACGCCACACTGCCCTTTCCCACCTGGACAAGAGGAACACCTACGTGAGAATGCTATTAATTGACTACAGCTCAGTGTTCAACACCATAGCACCCTCAAAGCTCATCACTAAGCTAAGGACCCTGGGACTAAACACCTCCCTCTGCAACTGGATCCTGGACTTCCTGACGGGCCGTCCCCAGGTGGTAAGGGTAAGTAACAACACATCTGCCACGCTGATCCTCAACACGGGGCCCCTCAGGGGTGCGTGCTCAGTCCCCTCCTGTACTCCCTGTTCACCCATGACTGCATGGCCAGGCACGACTCCAACACCATCATTAAATTTGCCGACGACACAACAGTGGTAGGCCTGATCACCGACAACGATGAGACAGCCTATAGGGAGGAGGTCAGAGACCTGGCCGTGTGGTGCCAGGATAACAACCCCTCCCTCAACGTGACCAAGACAAAGGAGATGATTATGGACTACAGGAAAAGGAGGACCGAGCACGCCCCCATTCTCATCGACGGGGCTGTAGTGGAACAGGTTGAGAGCTTCAAGTTCCTTGGTGTCCACATCACCAACAAACTATCATGGTCCAAACACACCAAGACAGTCGTGAAGAGGGCACAAAAAGCCTATTCCCCCTCAGGAGACTGAAAATATTTGGCATGGGTCCTCAGATCCTCAAAAGGTTATACAGCTGCACCATCGAGAGCATCCCAACTGGTTGCATCACCACCTGGTATGGCAACTGCTCGGCCTCCGACCGCAAGGCACTACAGAGGGTAGTGCATACGGCCCAGTACATCACTGGGGCCAAGCTTCCTGCCATCCAGGACCTCTATACCAGGCGGTGTCAGAGGAAGGTCCTAAAAATTGTCAAAGACTCCAGCCACCCTAGTCATAGACTGTTCTCTCTGCTACCGCACGGCAAGCGGTACCGGAGCACCAAGTCTAGGTCCAAAAGGCTCCTTAACAGCTTCTACCCCCAAGCCATAAGACTCCTGAACAGCTAATCATGGCTACCCGGACTATTTGCAAGATTGTTATTGCCAGTCATATGCTAGGTTAAAGTCCCCCCCAAATATGTGTCCAAATAGAAAATGGTTACAACCGAAACAATTGACACCATAGAGATACACTGCATGACCAAAAGTATGTGGACACCTGCTCGTTGAACATCTCATTCCAAAATCATGGGCATTAATATGAAGTTGGTTCCCCCATTTGCTGCTACAACAGCCTCCACTCTTCTGGGAAGGCTTTCCACTAGATGTTGGAACATTGCTGCGGGGGACTTGCTTCCATTCAGCCACAAGAGCATTAGTGAGGTCGGGCACTGATGTTGGGCGATTAGGCCTGGCTCGCAGTCGGCGTTCCAATTCATCCCAAAAGTGTTCGATGGGGTTGAGGTCAGGGCTCTGTGCAGGCCTGTCAAGTTCTTCCACACTGATCTCGACAAACCATTTCTGTATGGACCTCGTTTTGTGCACAGGGGCATTGTCATGCTGAAACAGGAAAAGGCCTTCCCCAAACTGTTGCCACAAAGTTGGAAGCACAGAATCGTCTAGAATGTCATTGTATGCTGTAGCGTTCAGATTTCCCTTCACTGGAACTAAGGGGCCTAGCCTGAACCATGAAAAACAGCCCCAGACCATTATTCTTCCTCCACCAAACTTTACAGTTGGCACTATGCATTGGGGCAGGTAGCGTTCTCCTGGCATCCGCCAAACCCAGATTTGTCCGTCGGACTGCCAGATGGTGAAGCGTGATTCATCACTCCAGAGAACGCATTTCCACTGCTCCATACATTTTTGGACTCACCTTGTTGTGCTGTGCTCACTTGAACAGGAAGGTGGCGCGGCGGTTCTTCGTGGGCAAATTTTGTCATCAAAGTCTGACATTCTCTGGATTTATGGTGCGCAACTGGGAACTCTGGAAAAACAAGGTCGAGTCATGACATAAGTGATCTTCAGATCGGAGCTCTAGAAAGAAGCCCGAGTTCCGGACTTGGAATTCTGAGTTGGATGACTGTTCAAAACGCATTTTCCCCAGTCGGAGCTAGTTTTTTTCCGAGTTCCCAGTTGTCTTGAACTCACTGAAGTCTAAGATTTCCCAGTTCTGATTTTCCAGTTGTTATGAAAGCGGCAGAAGTCATGCTGGATTGACAGCATGGCCAATGTTGAATGTTTATCCTTTTAAGTTTGGAGAAGAGACCCTTAAACCCAGACTTGGACCACACATCCACACCACTGAATAGCAGGCTAGTGATTGTTTTGCAATGCTTGCAGTTAGCCACTGATTCCCTCCAAACCACTCATTGTTGAATTTGCGATTTCCAACTTGTTGTTTAATGTTTATGTCCAATGGCCGATGAGCACCGATACGTTTTATCTATAATTTCTCTTCATAATTTCTCTTCATATGACAAGGATTAAAAAAGGATGATGATGACTGCTTGTCTAGCTTGCTAGCTAAGATTTTGAAAGTATGATGTTGACATGATCAGTCCAATCAAAGCTACGGTAGATATAACGTGATTTGACGTCATTTTATCTGTGGCCAATGACCTTGAGCCTTATTGGATGGGCACTTCTAACGTAACTCTATGGCAGCACCCAGGGGGCTTGAATTTTCGAGCTCTCCCCGTAGATTTTGACGTAGTGTCCCCATGAGTGACAGAACACTGAGCCAATCACGGCGCAACTAGAGAACATTCCCAACCCCTATGCTCCATATTTTCCGCTGGCTGCCCCACCACCACAGAAAGCACTGAGCTAGGCTGAAACACCTGCATGTTGGAGCTGCTTTACTCAAGAAAGCAAAAAAGAGACCATGTTTGTATGCTGCTTTATTAACTCAATGATTTTTATTGTTTGCTAACTGATATGTGACACGTATTAATGCCAAAATAACATGCAAAACAGGTCGCCACTCGTCAGCTTTCATTTGAGGGTATTTTCCTCCATATCGGGTGGACATTTAGAAAAAAACAGCACTTTTTGTACAAAAGTATTGAGACAAATAAGAATAGAATATGTTTCTTAACACTCCTACATGAATGTGGATGTTACCATGGTTACGGATCATCCTGAATGAATCATTAAAAGTTAGACGCACATATAACCTCCCCGGTTATTGTAATGGTGAGAGGTTAACATGTCTTCGGGGTATATTTGCGCGTCTGTATCCATATTATTGTAGATACACAGTACTGGTAACCATGGTAACATCCATATTCATGTAGATACACAGTACTGTGAGCTCCAAAAGTATTGGGACAGTGACACATTTGTTGTTGTTTTGGCTCTGTACTCCAGCACTTTGGATTTGAAATTATACAATGAGGTTAAAGTGCAGACTGTCAGCTTTAATTGGAGGGTATTTTCATCCATATTGGGTGAACCGTTTAGAAAGAACAGCACCTTTTGTTCGTAGGTCCCATTTTAGGGGACCAAAAGTATTGGGACAAATTCACTTATTGTGTATTAAAGTAATCCTTAATGAATCGTGAATAATGATGAGTGAGAAAGTTACAGAAGCACAAATATGCATAATATGCATAATCATGGTAGCATCCAAATTCATGTAGAAGTGTTTAGAAACATATTATATTCTTATTTACAATAAAAGTGACTCCAAAATGACACAATACATTATTTACCGTTCATTTCTATTGGACACAAAATAATCTGAAACACAACCAAAACAAAACAGCAAACGCATCCAACAAGTTTGTAGAGTCACAAGCTTGATGTAGTCATTGCGTGCTGTGAATATGGGACCAAATACAATACCTGGTAGAGCACGGCGCTTGTAACGCCAAGGTAGTGGGTTCGATCCCCGGGACCACCCATACACAAAAAATGTATGCACGCATGACTGTAAGTCGCTTTGGATAAAAGCGTCTGCTAAATGGCATATTATTATTATTATTACTACAACACTTTTGACTACTTTAATACAGATATAAATGAATTTGTCCCGATACTTTTGGGGGACTATGTACAAAAAGTGCTGTAATTTCTAAACGGTTCACCTGATTAGAATGAAAATACAATCAAATTAAAGTTTAACCTCAGTCATAGTATAATTTCAAATCCAAAGTGCTGGAGTACAGAGCCAAAACAACAACAAATGTGTCACTGTCCCAATACTTTTGGAGCTCAGCGTATACAGTGCCTTCAGAAAGTATTCAGACCCCTTGACTTTTTCCACTTTGTTACATTACAGACTTATTCTAAATTGGATTAAATACAACATTTTCCTCAGCAATCTACACACAATACACCGTAATGACAAAGCAAAAACAGGTTGTTAGACATTTTTGCAAATGTATTAAAAATAAAAAACAGAAATACATTATTTACATAAGTATTCAGCCCCTTTGCTATGAGACTCGAAATTGAGCTCAGGTGCAATAGGGATCTAATGGGGATCCATATTACAATACAAATACAAATGAACTGAGCAAAGTACAGAGAGATCCTTGATGAGAACCTGCTCCAGAGCACTCAGGACCTCAGACTGGGGTGAAGGTTCACCTTCCAACAGGACAACGACCCTAAGCACACAGCCAAGACAACGCAGGAGTGGCTTCGGGACAAGTCTCTGAATGTCCTTGAGTGGCCCAGCCAGAGCCCGGACATGAACCCCATCAAAAATCTCTGGAGAGACGTGAAAATAGCTGTGCAGCGACGCTCCCCATCCAACCTGACAGAGCTTGAGAGGATCTGCAGAGAAGAATGGGAGAAACTCCCCAAATACAGGTGTGCCAAGCTTGTAGCGTCATACCTAAGAAGACTCTATGCTGTAATCGCTGCAAAGGTGCTTCAACAAAGTACTGCGTAAAGGGTCTGAATACTTATGTAAATAAGGTATTTGTTTTTTATTTGTAATAAATTAGCAAACATTTCTAAAAACCTGTTTTTGCTTTGTCATTATGGGGTATTGTGTGTAGATTGATGAGAATAAAAAAAAAATCAATTTTAGAATAAGGCTGTAACGTAACAAAATGTGGAAAAAGTCAAGGGGTCTGAATACTTTCCGAAGGCGCTGTGTGTGTGTGGGCGTGAAGTGGTCCAGCTTTAAAGGGAGGAGATTTCGCTCTCCTCATATCACAGCACCAGTGTCAGTGTGAGACAAAGGCACCGCTCCAAAACCTCTCAGTACTACATCATGTAGTAATTCAATTAGAATGGAACCATTATTCACGATCATGAGATTGAGTTGGCCCTGTAACCCATTGCAAATAATACAGTCGACCCCGTACAGTCGGCCCAGTACAGTTGGCCCGGTAGAGTCGACCCAGTACAGTCGGCCCGGTACAGTCGGCCCGGTACAGTCGGCCCGGTAGCCTACTACAAATATGTGCTATTGAAGTAAGCAAGAAGTAAATTCCACAAACACTTTTGTTTATGCTTGATTTAACATCTTGATGTATTCTTCACATACCTGTAAATGTAGACAGCCATTTCTGTCTACGTCTCGGTAAGCAACTCCACTGTAGATTTGGCCTTATAAGTAGGTTATTAGAGATCCTGGTTCGAATCCATGGTTTGTCGTAGCCGGCCGCGACCGGGAGACCCATGGGGCGGCGCACAATTGGCCCAGCGTCGTCCAGGGTAGGGGAGGGAATGGCCGGCAGGGATGTAGCTCAGTTGGTAGAGCATGGCGTTTGCAACGCCAGGGTTGTGGGTTCGTTTCCCACGGGGGGTGTAAAAATAAAATAATGTATGCACTCACTAACTGTAAGTCGCTCTCGATAAGAGCGTCTGCTAAATGACTAAAATGTAAAATGTATTGTCCTGCTGAAAGGTGAATTCATCTCCCAGCGTCTGTTGGAAAGCGGATTGAACCAGGTTTTCCTCTAGTCTCCCAGCGTCTGTTGGAAAGCGGATTGAACCAGGTTTTCCTCTAGTCTCCCAGGGTCTGGTGGAAAGCGGATTGAACCAGGTTTTCCTCTAGTCTCCCAGCGTCTGTTGGAAAGCGGATTGAACCAGGTTTTCCTCTAGTCTCCCAGCGTCTGTTGGAAAGCGGATTGAACCAGGTTTTCCTCTAGGATTTTGGCTGTGCTTAGCACTATTCCGTTTATTTTTAACCTAAAAAACTCCCTAGATATTTCCGATGACAAGCATACCCATAATATATGATGGTTAGTATTGTGGAGTAACTAAAATGTTGTTGATCCATCCTCAGTTTTCTCCTATCACAGCCATTAAACTCTGTTACTGTTTTAAAGTCACCATTGGCCTCATGGTGAAATCCCTGAGCGGTTTCCTTCCTCTCCGGCAACTGAGTTAGGAAGGACGGCTGTACCTTTGTATTGACTGGGTGTATTGATACACCATCCAAAGTGTAAAAATTATATTAATAACTTCACTATGCTCAAAGGGATATTCAATGTCTGTTTTTTTGGGGGTTTTTTTACCCATCTACCAATAGGTGCCCTCCTTTACGAGGCATTGGAAAACCTCCTTGGTCTTTGTGGTTGAATCTGTGTTTGAAATTCACTGCTCGACTGAGGGACCTTAGAGATAATTGTATGTTTGGGGTAGCTTAGTGGCAGGTAGCTTAGTGGGTAAGAGCGTTGTGCCAGTAACTGAAAGGTCGCTGGTTCTAATCCCCGAGCAGACTAGGTGAAAAATCTGTCGATGTGCCCTTAAGCAAGGCACTTAACCCTAATTGCTCCTGTAAGTCACTCTGGATAAGAACGTCTGCTAAATGTACAGAGATCAGGTAGTCATTCAGAAATCATGTTAAACACTATTATTGCACACAGAGTGAGTCCATGCGACTTGCCATAACAAAAGGGGTTGAATACTTATTGACTCAAGCTTTTCATTTTTAATTAATTTGTACACATTTCTAAAACATAATTCCACTTTGACATTATGGGGTAATGTGTATAGGCCAGTGATCAAAATCTGAATTAATAATCCATTTTAAAATTCAGTCTGTAACACAACAAACAGTGGAAAAAGTCAAGGAGTGGGAATACTTTCTGAAGGCGCTGTACGTGTTTCTTCAATAAAGCACACGAACGAGGACATGTTAAGTGGAATAAGTGAAATAAGCGGCAGTATTAGTAGATGGGGCTACAGTTGAACTATTCTGACATTTCGGCTATACAATGGGACAGTGGAGAGACTTTTCTCAGTACAGTAGCCTACCTTCACTCTCGTAGATGTAGTTGATGATGTCATCTGCGTTCAGGCCCTCTTCTTTAGTGTTGATTGCTATGTGGACCGTATGATATTCCTCCATGAGTTTGATGTGCACCCCTTCCAGAGTGAAGTAACAATTTCTCTCCTTTTTGTCGTCATCGAAGATCAGCAGCGCATCTTTCCAGTTGAAGTGATGGAACATCGCTGAGAATGTTTCTGCCATTTTCAGGTAAGACGGGGAGATTCGGGTCAGGTGAGAGTATTCTTTCTCCTTGTCACTGAACCCGCTGGCCAGAGCACCTGTCGATATTACCGGGATGTTCCAGTGGGAAGCCATCCTTACCACCGGCGCCGCGGCGTATTCACACACGGGACCGAGAACCAAGTCCGGCTTCTTCTCGCAGGAGCGGTCCACCAGGGAGAAGAGCGCATCATTGCCACAGTCGGAATCCTCATAGCGCACGTTGAAATTAAGTCCGGAATATACACCGCCGCTGATTTTCAACCTCTGCTTTGCATACTCTATGGCCGGGGCCACTCTTGCTATTGAGAAAATATAGGAGTTATTTTTTGGCAACATCACCAATACTTCGATGTCCTCAATCACTGTTGCACTTGTCTGACCAGGTAACAACCCCAGCCAAATGTACAAACACAATGAAATGAAACATGGCATGATGCAACTTTAAAAGTTATGCTTTGTCTATAATCATTAATAATGTTTATCTCTCTCTCTCCAAGTCAACTGCGTTCCCGGAGCCGCAGACTTCCTAGTACACAGGTAAATTGCAATTGCCAATGTGGAGTCTTCCAAAAATAAATAATCTAAGTTAAATTGCCTTTTTCTTTGAATGAATGAAATAAAAATTCTAAATGTATGAAGTGTATGATCGTGCACAGAGAGTCTCCTGCAACCTCCTCAACTGATGGAAGAATCCCCTCTGTTTTCCTAACTAATTCTCCTGTTCCCCTGGTCATTCCTCTTGTTTAAATATGGTAAGTGCCAGACAGCTGCCACACACACGCCGAGGGGAGGAATTGTGAAGCATCTTTTCCTTATTATTCCTGCGTCATCCCTCTACAACACACCTCTTTCTTAAAGCTACAGGTCCTTCTTTTTGCTACTTTTTTTTTTATGTTAGAGAAAATAATTGTTCGTTTTGCCGCATCCCACTGTACACTTAGATTTGCAGAGACTGAATGCAATGCCTCATTGACAAGAAACGGTCTTTTCAAAGAGAAAAATGAAGAAAAGAAAACTGTAGGTAAAGTTTCAAGAAAAAGGTTTTTGTTTGCTATTTTAGATACAAACGCGAGTCTAAGCCGTTTTGGCCTACACAACACAATGAAATATACAGTCTGGTACAGTGTAGCACACATATAGCTTGTATTAATAGACTAAATACCTTTAACTTTCCTGATCCATTTACCTTTGAAGTCAACAAGGTGGGACATCTATGCATACTGCACGTGCATAGGCCTACTGAACATCATCCACATTTTGACTGATTCATTTTGCCTTTAGAAACCCCACTAAACATACCCAGCTTTAGACGTGTGCCGAGCGTTCCAAAGTGAACCACAGCAGCCGTGACGAATGATCAACCTCTGGTGCGGCATGACGATGCCCAGCATGGGAGAAAGAGAAACCCTGCTATAGACTGCCATCTAGTGGCCACAGCCAACATAGACCGTTCTACAGTAAGAGATGCAGGCCCGTTGAGGATAGTTTTAGGTCCGTATAGATATGCCTATACTGTCCAGACGATGTTAAGCAAAGCAGTATCGGTTTAGTGAGAATAGCCTGCACCTAGTAGACCTAGCTGACTGATTTGTGTCGTGACGATGGTGTCTTTCTCCCAACGCCAGTGTTGCGTTGGATAGATATTAACAGTTGAGTACTAAATGCTGGATGTTAAATAAGGAAAAGAGGCAAAGCCCAGCCCGGGTATATTTCTCATGCCCCATTAAACGTCGGCCTGCAAAATGAGTCACCTAACAAGTTCCCTAGACGTAAGGGGTAACAACCTCTCATTCACGTCACCTTTAAATGGGCCACTTGGTTTTGTGGCTGGCGTAATTCATTGACATATAGGGGCTACTGTGTCCAGAACTCTCATTATAATAATGACAGGGGGTTTGAGGTAATGTCGGGTCTCTAGTCTGTGATTTCTTTAGCTACTCCCCTTATCCTGATTACACCAATGGGTGCAATTTGAAGCCGCTATTTGGAGCTACTTGGCAATTAAGAGTCATTCTGCTTAACTAGACACCTTGTTGTTTAATTTTACAGCATCGTGGAGCTACAGATGCCGCATATTTATTTGACCCAGTTTCTCACAACAGAACAATTATTCAGCAGCAACAAGAAATGTGAATCATTATGTGGGATTGATAATTTTTTTCGTTAGGGCAAATCAAGTCTGGCATTTTTTGGAAATTACAAACTTTAGAAGCCTTTTTATACCTTCAATATACTACAACTTTGCATTTCCTGCAACAACAGTATCATCAAATAAAGATACGGCATCAGGGTACAGCCTTCTTAGGTAACTAACTTTCACATATACTTGGAGATAGAGGTCACGTCATTCCAGGTATATCATACTGCCTGCCTGGCTGGCTCGGTCTGGTTGATGCCCAGTGCAGGTCGTTTGCGTGTGTGTGCATTGAATAATTGTCCAGAGAGACTGTACTGCAGGGCAGGTTGTTAGTTGATCTAATAAGGGCTCTGGTTTATGACCACATCTCTTTTAAATCTATTAAAGTGGTCATGTAATCAAGGCCATCTGTCAGAGCCACGACAGGGTGTGTTTTATGTTAATGCTGTATACATGTTTAATCAAATCAAATCACATTTTATTTGTCACATACGCAGAATAAAACAGGTGTAGACCTTACAGTGAAATGCTTACTTACAAACCTTTAACCAACAATGCAGTTTTAAGAAAAATAAGTATTAAGTAAAAAATGGATAAGTAAAAAATTAAAAATAAAATAACAGTAGCGAGGCTATATACAGGGGGTACCGGTACAGGATCACTGTGCGGGGGCACAGGTTAGTCGAGGTAATTGAGGTAATATGTACATGTAGGTAGAGTTAAAGTGACTATGCATAGATAATAAACAGAGTAGCAGCAGCGTAAAAGAGGGGGTGTCAATGCAAATAGTCTGGGTGGCCATTTGATTAGATGTTCAGGAGTCTTATGGCTTGGGGGTAAAAGCTGTTAAGAATCCTTTTGGACCTAGACTTGGCGCTCCAGTACCGCTTGCCGTGCGGTAGCAGAGAGAACAGTCTATGACTAAGGTGACTGGAGTCTTTGACAATTTTTAGGGGCCTTCCTCTGACACCGCCTGGTATAGAGGTCCTGGATGGCAGGAAGCTTGGCCCCAGTGATGTACTGGGCTGTACACACTACCCTCTGTAGTGCCTTATGATCGGCGGCCGAGCAGTTGCCATACCAGGCAGTGATGCAACCAGTCAGGATGCTCTCGATGGTGCAGCTGTAGAACTTGTTGAGGATCCGAGGACCCATGCCAAATCTTTTCAGTCTCCTGAGGGGGAATATGCTTTGTCGTGCCCTCTTCACGACTATCATGGTGTGTTTGGACCATGACAGTTTGTTAGTGATGTGGACACCAAGGAACTTGAAGCTCTCAACCTGCTCCACTACAGCCCTGTCGATGAGAATGGGTCCTCCTTTTCCTGTATTCCACAATCATCTCCTTTGTCTTGATCACGTTGAAGGAGAGGTTGTTATCCTGGCACCACACGGCCAGGTCTCTGACCTCCTCCCTTTAGGCTGTTGTCGGTGATCAGGCCTACCACTGTTGTGTCGTCGGCAAACTTAATGATGGTGTTGGAGTCGTGCCTGGCCATGCAGTCATGGGTGAACAGGGAGTACAGGAGGGGACTGAGCACGCACCCCTGAGGGGCCCCCATGTTTAGGATCAGCGTGGCAGATGTGTTGTTGCCTACCCATATCACCTGGGGGCGGCCCGTCAGGAAGTCCAGGATCCAGTTGCAGAGGGAGGTGTTTAGTCCCAGGGTCCTTAGCTTAAATCAAATCAAATCAAATCATATCAAATCAAATTTTATTTGTCACGTGTTTAGCAGATGTTATAGCGGGTGTAACGAAATGCTTGTGCTTCTAGCTCCGACAGTGCAGTAATATCTAACAATTTCACAACATATACCCAATACACACAAAACTGGTAAGGAATGGGATTTAAGAATATATACATATATGGACAAGCAATGACAGAGCGGCATGGACTAAGATACAGTAGAATATTATAGAATAGAATGCAGTATATACATATGAGATGAGTAGTGCAAGATATGTAAACATTATTCAAGTGACTAGTGTTCCATTTCTTAAAGTGGCCAGTGATTTCTAATCCATGTATATAGGCAGCAGCCTCTAATGTGCTAGTGATGGCTGTTTAACAGTCTGATGGCCTTGAGATAGAAGCTGTTTTTCATTCTCTCGGTCCCAGCTTTGATGCACCTGTACTGACCTCGCCTTCTGGATGATAGCGGGGTGAACAGGCAGTGGCTCGGGTGGTTGATGTCCTTGATGATCTTTTTGGCCTTCCTGTGACATCGGGTGTTGTATGTGTCTTGGAGGGCGGGTAGTTTGCCCCCGGTAATGCGTTCAGCAGATCGCACCCCCCTCTGGAGAGCCCTGCGTTTGTGGGTGGTGCAGTTGCCATACCAGGCTGTGATACAGCCCGACAGGATGCTCTCAATTGTGCATCTGTAAAAGTTTGTGAGGGTTTTAGGTGCTAAGCCGAATTTCTTCAGCCTCCTGAGGTTGAAGAGGCTCTGTTGCGCCTTCTTCACCACACTGTCTGCGTGGGTGGACCATTTCAGTTTGTCGGTGATGTGTACGCCAAGGAACTTGAAGCGATCCACCTTCTCCACTGCAGTCCCGTCGATGTGGATAGGGGGGGGTGCACACTCTGCTGTTTCCTGAAGTCCACGATCATCTCCTTTGTTTTGTTGATGTTGAGTGAGAGGTTATTTTCCTGGCACCACACTCCCAGAGACCTCACCTCCTCCCTGTAGGTGGTCTCGTCATTGTTGGTAATCAAGCCTACTACTGTTGTGTCGTCTGCAAACTTGATGATTGAGTTGGAGGCGTGCTTGGCCACGCAGTCATGGGTGAACAGGGAGTACAGGAGGGGGCTGAGCACGCAGCCTTGTGGGGCCCCAGTGTTTAGTCCCAGGATCCTTAGCTTAGTGATGAGCTTTAAAGGCACTACGGTGTTGAACGCTGAGCTGTAGTCAATGAATAGCATTCTCACGTAGATGTTCCTCTTGTCCAGGTGGGAAAGGGCAGTGTGGAGTGCAATAAAGATTGCATCATCTGTGGATCTGTTGGGGCGGTATGCAAATTGGAGTGGGTCTAGGGTTTCTGGGATAATGATGTTGATGTGAGCCATGACCAGCCTTTCAAAGCACTTCATGGCTACAGACGTGAGTGCTACGGGTCTGTAGTCATTTAGGCAGGTTACCTTTGTGTTTTTGGGCACAGGGACTATGGTGGTCTGCTTGAAACATGTTGGTATTACAGACTCAGTCAGGGACAGGTTGAAAATGTCATTGAAGACACTTGCCAGTTGGTCAGCACATGCTCGGAGTACACGTCCTGGTAATCCGTCTGGCCCTGCGGCCTTGTGAATGTTGATCTGTATAAAGGTCTTACTCACATCAGCTACGGAGAGTGTGATCACACAGTCATCCAAAACAGCTGATGCTCTCATGCATGCTTCAGTGTTGCTTGCCTCGAAGCGAGCATAGAAGTGGTTTAGCTCGTCTGGTAGGCTTGTGTCACTGGGCAGCTCACGGCTGCGCTTCCCTTTGTAGTCTGTAATAGTTTTCAAGCCCTGCCACATCCGACGAGCGTCAGAGCCGGTGTAGTACGATTCAATCTTAGTCCTGTATTGACGCTTTGCCTGTTTGATGGTTCGTCGGA